TTTAGTTTCAAACATATTTTCCAAAAAATTCAAAACAAACTATTCCACAACACGCCAACTAAAATCTGATCCGCAACTTTATCGCCGTAAGTATTAGTGACTTTTTTGCAAGACTGATTCTAAATTCTTTTCTCAAAAAATATTATTTCACAAGTTTTCCGCAAAACTACGAATCCACAAAATTTCCACTCAAATTTTATGTTAATGAAAATCCGACAAAGATTTGCACCTCTATTCACAGGTCAATTGACCCACATGTTTTATCGGGTAACAAATTTACTTATTAAAAAAAACAAAATTCCAAAAATTGTGGGCTCGCCACATCAGCAAAAAACTTCTTCATTATAATACACTCGTCAAAATATAATTCTGCTAATTTTTCACCAAAATTTAAGTCTGTAAATTTCCCGTGAACATATTAAAAGTTGAAAAGTTGTTTTCCAAATTTTTCAAAAAAAAAGGAGATAACAAACTATTATGCAATGCACAAAAAAATATATATGATTAACAAATCTTCCGCCATAAATGTGAGTCAATGCATTTTTTTTGCAATTAATTTCTGCAATAGAGATTGACAAATATCTCAAAAAAAAATATTTTATGTCAAAAGTCTTATTCTTAAATATTTTCTCAAAAATTAGGATTCCATAAATTTCCTACCAAAATCACAAATTCACATAATTTTGACCTTAAACTTTAAGCTTAAAATATGATTCTCTAAAACAAAAAATTTGTGAAATTGATGTCGAAAAGTAATTTAAACTCATTACATATTTGTCGTAAAATATTGACGTCCGAAAAGTGATTCTATAGATTCAACTTTTCATGCTACATTAATAATTTCTCCAATGTTGAGCCAAAACAGAAATCCACAAATCTTTCTAATATAGTATTATTTTACGTCAAAAAATTAAGTTCATTTTTTCCGACTAAAGTACAATTCGAAATAATTTCAGCTAAAAATTTGACCCTAACTTTTAGGTTGAAATTATGGTTTTTTGTTTTTAAAAACTCCAAAACAAATGATTCTGCAAAGTAATTTCTTTTTATGTCATTAGAAATCTAATTTTTCTATTTTCTCAACACTTTAATATGAATAAAAACAGAATATAGAAATTATTTTAAGGTGCTTATGTGTACCAATCAAATTGAATTTCTTATTTCCCTCTGCTACACCACATCACCTTGTTGCTAAAAAAAGAAATTTATTTGTTTAATTACTTAGTGCATTTGTAATGAAAAATGCTTAATAGAGATGTTTAAGTTTGAGATTTCATTAAAATGAATGGTTGAATAGGCCATAATAGATAGTATGAGCTTTTTAATCAATTTTTCACTAATATAAAAGACACTTTCTAATGTCATTGCTTATTAGATAATCTATATAAAAATTAGAATTATTAAAATCTAACTAATAGTAAAATATTTGTAAAATAGGAAATTACTAAAATTAATATGTTAAAGTAATAAGAAAATATATTAATATTAAAAAAATAGAAATATGCTAATAAGAATAAAAAAAGAAACTAAAAAAATAATTATTCAATGAAAAAAAAATGACATGGACCAATCAAATACAGTTTTACAATCCTGTGTGGACACCTTTAGAGGCATATAGGGTCAACTTTTATTAGTAACTAGGTATTTTACCCATGCTATGCGCGGATTTTGTTTTTATGTTTTCTTAAATTTTTTTATGAATTTTTAATTTTCCATTTTTAAAAAAATTCGTTGATACAAAATCCTTTACAATTTTTCTTTTTTATTTTTAATAATTTTCTTTTCTAATTATATATAACTAAATCTCCAATTTTTGGTTCAAGAGTTAGTTTTGTCACATTTTGGGTTTAGTTATCATTACGAATTAGAAACTCATTACCTTCACATTTGAAATGCAAATATGAATATTCATAAATGCGACTCTTTTGCAGTGTTTCTCAAAAGTCTTAAATTAAATTTCACTTGAAAATCAATTTCGTCGAATTCATAAATCCTACTTCAATATTATTACCCTCAACCCTTCATAAAGCTGGTAAAGCATATGATTTACGCCACCAAAAGATATATATTACTTTAATGCCACATGTTACTAAATGTTCATTTAGCTTATATGCAGTGTTGCTCTTCATTCTTCTCAATATGGATGGTTTGAAACTTCCTAGCAATAGACTCTTCAATCTATCATTATTTTTTATTTAACTATTAAATAAATTTACTGAAAAAATAATATATTTTAAAATTTGAGGCCACCAAGAACCTCAGGCCGACCCGGATCTCCCTATCTCTCATTTGCTTTAATTATATGCACACTACCAAACATTTTGTTTCAGAATTTTAGAGATTGCATGTCTTTGAAGGTCATGATTTATACCAAATCCTCTTAACCCCAAATCTTTCTAATAATTTCCAAACATCCATTAGACAAAATTAAAAAAAAAAAATAGAAGTAATTTTCCTTTTTATGTCATTAGAAATCTTATTTTTTCTATTTTCTAAACACTTTAATATGAATAAAAATAGAATTGAGTATTAAGGAAATATCATAATAACAAATAAAATGAAATTCTTTTAAGATGCTTATGTGTACCGATCAAATTAAATTTCTTATTTTCCTTTTGCTACACCACAACACCTTGTTGCTAAAAAAAAAGAAATTTATTTGTCTAACTACTTAGTATATTTGCCATGAAAAACTGCTTAATAGAGATGTTTAAGTCTCAGATTTCATTAAAATGAATGGTTGAATGTGCCATAATAGATAGTATGGGCTTCTTAATCAATTTTCCACTAATATAAAAGACAACTTCTAATGTCATTTCTTATTAGATAATCTATATAAAAATTACAATTATTAAAATCTAATTAATAAAATATTTGTAAAATAGGAAATTTACTAAAGTTATATGTTAAAGTAATAATACTTATTGGAATAAAAGAAAATATATGGATATTAAAAAAATGGAAATTTGCTAATATGCATAAAAGGGAAATTTGCTAATAAGAATAAAAAGAAATTAATTATTCAATTAAAAAAATAATAATAATGACATGGACCAATCAAATACAGTTTTAGAATCCTAGGTGACACCTTCTAATGCATATAGACTCAACTTTTATTAGTAATAGATAGATAGATTTAATCATAACCTAAACGATCGATAATATATACCACCAATAAAATAAAATATAAAATCTAATACCAATGCCAGAGGAAAATTAAATTATTAATTCTTTTGTAATTTAGCAATGTCTTCATTGTCGTCACCATCTTCTCTTTTAATGACCATCATTATCTTCATGGTTAGAACTGTTCGTTCAATTTGGTAAAACCAAACTGAACCAATCCAAACCAAACCTAGATAGGTCATATAGTTTGGATTTGGATACACCGTGTAAACCATATGGATACAATTTTTTATAAACCGTAGATATTGATATGGTTTGAATATTAACCAAATTAACCGCAAAAAAAACTGAAAAAACCTGAATAATTCTATATTTAGTATAATAGTATATAGTATACACATATGATATATAGTAATATAAGTTAAGAGTAATCTCATATAAAATTATAGATCATTAATTTACCAAAATTTAACAACTAAAAAACCCAAAAAACCCTAGATACTAAACCTAGATCTTTAAATTTTTATACTTTAAAATAAGACATGAATTTGATGATTCTGTTACCAAAAAAATAAAATATCTATATAATAAAATAATAATCAAACAAAAAGTGCAAATAACCCGGAAACCGAGATTATTCGAACCGTAAATATCCAGACCGAAAAAACCGATAATCGAAACTATCCAAACCCAACCAAACCAAAGTAAGTATGGTTCTAACCGAAAACCAACAAAAAAACAAACCGAAACCAAACCGATATTCGGATTGAACACCCCTGGTTTGGGTTCACTAGTACCTAACTAAAGTTTAGATTTTGGGGTTTAGGGTTTATATTTAAAAGTTTACCGTTAAATTTTAGGGCTTAGAGTTTAGATTTTGGATTTAGAGTTCTTTTACTCAATGAAAATATTTAAAAAAATGAACACTGAAAATATGTAGTTTTGAAAATATGAAGATATAGTTTTGAAATATCCTCATATCTCGGTTCATTCATTCATAATGACCAAACAGCTATATTCGTATAAGGCTACGATTTTGTTTCTTCTTTCTTGTTTTGTTTTAGACCGTTGCACAAAGCCCTCTACATAAACTCAATTACTCTTTCATTGTAAATCACCTTTCCATCTACAAAATAATCAGTTATCATTTTATTTTCAAAGATTATTCTAGGATTCTAATCTTTAGATTCTAAATGTGGGATACATTTCTAATCTATTGATGTTTGAATTTTAGAATTGTTTAAGTGATTCACACAACTATTTGCCCCCACCTAACTGATAGAGTGATAGAGTCAATCGCAACCTTTCTGATTGAGAGAGTCAATGATCCATTCACCACTTCACCTCTACCTTCTCCCACTTCCAAGCTTAAGATTGCAAGATATGATTATGAACCAACTAATAGTATTTTACAGCATTTTATTGGCTGTTACACAGTGATGTATATCGAGAACTTGGTTTCTTCAGTCTAGTTTCATAAGTTCCATGGTCCATTCAAGCTTTGAAATTCATGGAGTAGAAAACAAAATAAGTTTATTTATTTCTTCAACTAATGAATGTTATGCTGGTTTATTGTTTCGTTTACTCCAAAATGGCAAAATCCGATATCATCTCCAACATTTTTAAGTATTGATTTTTGAAATACTTTGTACTAAGTAATTCCTACAAGAAAAATTTAAACAACATAAAATATTAGTTTTTTTTTCGTGGAACTACTAAAAGAGGAAGAAAACAAACAAACAAACAAAGAGGAACCCATTTCATTGAAACTGAAACCCAATAACGAAAAATTCAAAGGGAATAGTATTCTACATAAAGGGACTTGTTCTTGGTCCAGCCTACGACTTGGTCTCTTATAATACCAACTTGTTTCTTCAAGTCGCAATCTCATCCACCTCCGAGTTAAAGACAAAACTCGGAAACGTCGTAGTTATGTCCCTGCAAATTGAAATTTAAGTCTTGAAACTTTATAAACGGCACCCATAACTGGTCGAACAAATAATAAGGAAACATACCTCAGATATGGAAGAGTCATGATTTTGAGCAAAGATGGGTTCTTGATTACGAAATCGCTCCATTCTGTTTTATCAATTTTTCCATCCCGATCCACATCTGCGTCGTTGAAAGTCTGAAAAAAAAAACGAGTTCTATAAAAAGAATCTTTGCTTTCGTGGATAGAAGCTGTAACTAGACAAAAATGTAAAACAAAAATGTAAAACCTGATCGAGTATCATCTCTATTGTATCATCAGCGAGTTTCATTTCAGATTCGCAGAGAAGGGCAATCAACATTTGCTTCACCTACCAAAATGAAATGATGCAGAATCAAGAAAAAAAAAAAAACCTTGAAACTCAAACAATGAAACATAGATCGTTTTGAAATGCGATGCAAAGATACTGACAATAGTTCTTCTTTTACCTCTTGGCGCTCAATGAAGCCCGTGCAGTCCATATCGTAAAGCCTAAACGAAACTGAGATATAAATAAAGACCAACGTGGATAAAAATTAAGGGGAGGCTTTAGAGAAAGAATAATAGAGATTAGAGAATAGAGATAAACTCGTTTAGCTTACAGTCTGTTTTATCCTCCAGAGAAGCATTAGGGTGGAAAACATTGAGTGATCTCACAAAGTCTCCAAAATCAATTACGCCTTTTCGTTTAACATCAAACAAATCAAATATCTGTAAAAGAAGGCATTACCATATTAAGTACTTCTAATAGAACAAATCTTCAAGATTAGCTACAAAGTTATATACGCCTGAGAGACTTAAGATTACCCTATTAGCAAACAAATTTTCCTTCTTTCTGTTCTTGAACAAAGCAAGTTGAAACTCTTCCTGCATTACAAGTTGGTCGAGAAATAAGTAACAATATCCAAAAAGTGGGCCATGAATAATTTCAATTCAATTTTCAAAACCAAGCCATTAAAAAAAGAAGTATTATAAATTTCAAGTCAACTATCAGCACAGAGACTTGTTGAGCAATAAGGAGCCCACAGATCAGCATGGAGATTCAATTATTACCTAATTAATAAATTGGTGAAAGTCAACAAAGTTGACAAATATTATGAAATATGGATAATCGTGCATTGAATATTATGTCACTGTACATCAAGCATTCAAGATCCTGCCGTGAGGTGAAAAACGAATCAGAGGCTATTGATTTATCAGTACCTTGTTTATCAAGCCATCGTCAACAACCGAGCTGCTTATGCTCTTGAATAACTCGAACAATGCTTCAACTTCACTCACACTAACTGGAAAAAAGATAAGAAATAACAAGCCAACGCTGCGAGATTAAACATACAGATCAAGTCGACTTGGAAAAAAAAAAGAAATTGTATATGGCAATGTAAAGAGATACTTCATGAAGATTTTCTTATCAAGATTTAGCTAGACAGATAATCCAATAAAGAATTGTATGATGACTTAGCATCCTGGAAATGTAAGTTAGAATTAACTTTAACTAAGTTGCAGATCAAAAAGAAAGACTATGAATAAAAGGCCATTTTTTGAGATATTTCAGATTCAATGAACGGCTTAGAACAGCAAAAAGAGTTAAATAGAATTCTCATATCAGCAGAAGTGACCAGGTAAAAGAGCCATTTTAATAGCAGCTGAGAAGAAGATGAAACGTAAACAATTATCCCCAAAAAGAAGAAGAAGAAGAAGAAGAAGAAGAAGAAGAAGAAGGAGAAACGTATTGAGCAAGTAAACTTACAAGCAGTCTCTGAGGCCAGCTTCACAGGGTTTTCATGTCCAGGAAATTCTCTCGCAGCAGTGGAATGAAAACAGCCCATTTACAGATGAGAATTCAAACGAAGAAACCCGAGAAGAAGAAGAAGCAGAAGCTTATTCGATTAAAAAGAATCGCTAAAACAACAATTTCTGCGATTGTGAAGCTTGATTGCTGATATCATTGCCCATCATCGTACGCATCTTTACAATCTACACATAAGGAAACACAGAAACCCAAAAACTCAAATTCAAAGACGAAGACGAATGGTTAAATTAGTCTAAACCCTAAAAAAGTAGCAGCGATGCGAGAATTGAAATACAGATTCACGTGAAACGAGTTACAGAAATCTAACGCGATTGACACAATTTTGAAATTTAATCGGAAATTAGACAGGTAATGTAGGCGCGGCTAGAGAATCTTCGAACCGAGAAATTGCACGCAGAAATCGAATCAAAGAGATGAATACAGGAAACGAAATCGGATTCAGTACTTACCACCGAGAGAACGGCTCGCCGGCTCGGTGAGAGAGGAAGAGGATTTTTCGAGAACAAGAGAGACGACGAAGATCTGTGGCGATGGCAAATGAAAATGATCGGACGGCTGAGGTTAACTCCCAATATTGCAGACTTTTGCTTTGGGCTTTTTGTTCTTCACAGGCCGATTAAGAAATTATGAGAGTTTTTATAAGTTGAGCGTCGTTCGTGTGAACTCATTAACGCGTGCGAAACACCAACATTGTATTAATAATTAATTGAATATTAACATTGTGGATAATATAGGGCTTAACTGGTGTAGGAGGAATTGCTGAATGTAGAGGAATTCTGTAGAATTTTTGATACATGTGACACGAGTTGGAGGAAAAACAATTCAGCTGGAATAGAAGAGAGAGAATACTAAAAGACAGAAAATGAAGAATTATTTCCCCTTGTTGTTTTTTAGCATTTTTTATTTCATATCCCAACTAAATTATTTTCACGTATGTTAATCTTATAAAACAAACTTTAGTTATTATTTTGAAAATTATTATTGATTCTATAATTGTTCACATAATGTAAATAGATGCATGTTAAGATATAAGATCATAACAGTTCTTTAAGAAATTTTACTTCGGAACTTCCAAGTTTCAAGTTGTAGATTCGACAAGCATAGTACTCAGAAGAATACCAAGAATGATATTTTATTTGTTAGCTAGTAATATTTTTAATTTGGTTCTTTCATTTTCATAATCCCTACGGATGTCAACATCTGATCATGTTCAATAAAGATCTCCTATCCTAATAAATGAACTTATTAAATATGAAGCAAAGGGGACTTGCCGTATAGATAGATTCAACAAGATTCATTTCATGCGTGTGTTTTGAACTTGGGATATCATATCGATATGGGTCATATACCTTTTGGAAGAAACGAAGAATTATAATATTACCAGTCACATTTTAGTGGTCTAATCACGTACGTACGCCATACAAAAATTCCAATAATATAATAAATTGTATAAGGTCGGTCAAAATAAGAAGATGGATTAGCATTTGTTGTATCCATTAGACACGATCAGATCATACATGTTATTTAAAATCTGAAACTAGGATCCTGTCTCTAATAAAAATAGTACGTTAACGAGGAATGATGAGTTCCTAAAAATTTCTTTTGGAATAGTTGATAGAGATTTTGAAAACAGAAAGATAACAAATCTCAGGATCAGTGATACAAAAGATATAGAAATTACTTAGCGACATTTTCACTGATGACAAAAGGTAGCGCAAATCGAGAAACTTGGTTCACTTGTTTGAAGATTCGGGCTCTTTCCATGCAGCTTGCCATTGCTTGTCATATAAGGTTGTCTCTTCGAACAAACCCTTGAGTTTGTCTAAATCTTCGTTCTTGCGGATGAAAAGAACTCCAGCAACAGAGACGAACAAGAGTGTTTTGCAGAAAAAATTCCCCATTTGATCGACAAGTCCTACACCGGTAAGACTATCAACAAAGTAAGCCATGAAGAAGCCTATCATCGCCGCACGACCTGCAAAAAACAATATCACTTGAGACTTTACTGCATCTTTAGTTTTGCAAAGTAGTAGAAACAGATTTGAAACTTGAGCAAAAATTAAATCACCATTGAGAAGTTCAGCTTCGGGTAAATGGTATCTCTTCATCCATGCCCACCATGGAATGATTGAGGTATCAAAGAGTATAGGCTCGTCGTTACTAGTTGTCTCTGGGTTATCTTCAAGCCATTTCCTCCTCTTTGCCTCTATCATCACACAATCAACACATTACAATTAATCACTCATCTTCTCTTATGCACACAAACACGCACAATAGTATAAACCAAAGTAGGACTTGATTAGGTCTTTGCTCCTTCCAAATTCAACTCTTATTTTCCAGTTTTACAAATTCTATCTTTGGATTAATAGTTTCTCAAAACTCTAGATCACTCCAAATTCAGTTCCCACTTCTCACAAGTACTCGAATTTTTGAATTGATTTTCCTATAGTTTCTCCAACATTATCATTTGAAACAAAACATTCCTGTTAAATGGTAACAAAACTGAAGAAGGAAACGAAATTTCGAGATTGAAGGATCTAACCAGAAACAATGACGGAATCCCAATCGGTTTTTCCCTCTTTCTCGAACTGTTTCAGATCCCAAGTCCCATTAACCCACCTCGCATCCTCAAATTTGATTACCGTGGGAGTAGTAAATGTTGCAGCACTCTCTTCACCTCCAACGGCGCCGTTTTCAGACGCTGCGGTGCTTCCCGCCGGAGATTTTTTCACCGGAACCTCCACGGTGGTTGCAGCGGGTGTGGTGGTCGTGCCGTTGTCGGAAGAGGCTCGAGGGACGGAGACGAGAGAGAAACGCTTTGTGGAGAGAAGAGAGACTGAGATCTTGGGGATGAGATTAGGATTTTGAAGCGATGAAGAGATCGGCGGAGAGAATAACGCCATGGATATAGACATTTCTTAGCTCTCTCAGATTCTCAGTATCTCTCTTCTCCACCTTTTTCAGAGTTGGTTGGAATGTGTGGTTTGAAATGAAGCTCTGAGATGTTATCGTTCGTTGCATTGAATGTATGTCGTTTTTCGTTTTTTGGCTTATAGGAAACTACGCGACGTTTTTGTGATTCAAACTTACTAATGGTCTTTATTTATAAATACAAGCCCATTTTGATTAAGCATTCAGCCCAAAAAGAAGCAGAAAACCATTTACTCTTCTTTCATTCTGGTCTTACTAAACTCAAACAAACAATGAAGCGATCTACGAATTATCTCGAATGGACTCGAAATCGAAGCAAATTTCGCAAGTGTTTGAAGAAAATTTCACGTGGACGAATCCTATTGGCTCCGATGACGATCGAGATGTTTCTTGATTTGCTTCGCGGCAAAGTTTCGAGAAGTTTCCCGGAACTGCCCCTTTCCGGTCCGTTGCTTATGGCACGTGCTGCGAAAAGGTATATCATAGTATCATACACAACTAGTGAGGGCTCTATCGTCATTTTCGTCTCCGAATATAAATAAACGATTGTCTCGCCTTTTAGGATATTTTCATTGACTCGCAATTTTAATTTTCTCTCAAGCACAAGAAAACAAAAGTCATGGATGCCTTCTCTTCCTTCTTCGATTCTCAGCCCGGTAGCAGAAGCTGGAACTATGATTCTCTCAAGAACTTCCGTCAGATTTCTGCGGCCGTCCAGAATCATCTTAAGCGGGTATGTTTTTCCTCTCGCACGAACCGTCGTTTCGGTTGATTATGATTTTAATCGATCGGTAAACGATTGACTGAGTTTCATTTCGTATTCTTGGAATCGATCGCTCTAGTTGTAATCGATTACGTCTCAATCTATTGGATTTTGATTTTGCTTCGCTTATCGTTGAACGAATCGTTGCGATTGTACGTCTCATAAATTTCTAGGTTTTCTGATTAAGTCGTTTTTGTTTCTGTGGATGATGAAGTTGATGGAATTAGTTGGTTCGTATTTACTCGTCATTATTATGCTCTGCTAGTGATGGTCTTGATCGTCTTGTTCGTTTCTCATGTTTAAAACGTCGATCTCGCGAATCTTCTTTGGAATGCAATAATTGATTCGGCGTCCTTACGTCTCTTGTGGAATTTTATAGGTTTATCTGACCTTGTGCTGTGCACTTGTTGCGTCTGCGTTTGGAGCTTACCTCCATGTGCTCTGGAACATTGGTGGTATTCTCACAACAATTGCTTCGATTGGAAGCATGATTTGGCTGCTTACATGTCCTGCCTATGAACAAGTAAGTGGATATATTAATCAATAAGGTTGGGTGTGTGCGTTCTTGTTGCTCAGAGACATTGGTGTTTCTTTTTGATGCAGCAAAAGAGGCTCTCGCTTCTGTTTCTCTCTACCCTTCTTCAAGGTGCTTCAATTGGACCCTTGATCAAAGTGGCAATTGATTTTGACCCAAGGTGCTTATTTGTTGTTATTGATCATATCTTTTATAAAGCAAATCTCAGTGTGAGGCTGACAGTTATTATCTTGATCCTTTGTGTTAATCCAGCATCCTTATTACGGCCTTTGTTGGAACTGCGTTGGCGTTTGTGTGTTTCTCGGCAGCAGCGATGTTGGCAAGACGCAGAGAGTATCTCTACCTCGGAGGGCTGCTTTCATCTGGCTTATCCATGCTTATGTGGCTTCAGTTTGCCTCTTGGATCTTTGGTGGCTCTGCATCTATGTTTAAGTTTGAGGTAAGTCAACGTGTCTGCTTTGTGTAACAATGTGTTCTCTTTTGTCAGACTCCTCACCATTTGTGGTGGATCTCTTGGTTGCAGTTGTACTTTGGACTCTTGATCTTTGTTGGATACATGGTGGTGGACACACAGGAGATTATAGAGAAAGCACACCTCGGTGACATGGACTATGTGAAGCATTCGTTGACCCTTTTCACTGACTTCGTAGCTGTGTTTGTCCGTATTCTCATCATTATGGTAAGTTTATTTTTCGCTGGTGTTGGATCATTATCCTTGTGCTTTTATCACCCCGCCACTTATGAATCCTTTTGTTTATACAGTTGAAGAACTCGGCAGATAAAGAAGAGAAGAAGAAGAAAAGGAGAGACTAAAAGTTGCAGAGAATGCTAATAGGAGAGCGAGTGTAATAAAGACTTGGTGTTTTTGCTTGACTATGTTGGTGTTGTTTTTTCACGTGAATTGCTTCTTCCTCTTGTGCATATGAATTGCCTTAGATTTGAATGGCTTATTAAGTGGTTTTTTCGTTGTTCTTTTTCATTCTCTTGATAGCTTTCTTTAAATGTCTTTGAGGGTTTATTTCTACTGTTCGACTTGAAACCCATTGAGCTAATAATAAAATAGGAGGCAAAGAGTATACTCGAGAACCAGTTTCTTTTCTATGATCTTTGTAGCAGATAAATTTGATCCAAAAATTGGCTACATACTTTTCCGATTTAAACTATATGGTTTAGTTTACATTATCGTTAAGACAACGGTAAAGGAGCTAATGCTTGTTTATTTTCAGAAAAGCGTTAACAGGTTATATGAACTTTACGCTAATGTTTAGACAATGTATTAACGGATATTTAAAGAGTATATTTCTGTGGTATGATACTGTTTGATGAAACGTATTAAACGCTAATGTTTAGACAAGAATATACTCTCTTTATTTTGTAGTATGATACAGTTTTATAAACTTTTCATCGCAGCTGATTCCTGTTCTGTATAGATATTGTACAGCCATTTTGTAAATGGCTTAAGTGGATTTTGGACTTGTTTTTGTTCTATTTTATTTCAAGCTTTCATAATCATAAGATCCATAAACTTATAGTTAAGATAATTGGCACGCATGTCCGATTAGGGTCACGAGTTTTTTACCGCCTTGTTACCTTTTCGTTTTTACTCGGTAACATCGACACGAGTTACACGATTAATATTAAAATAGCAATACATAACTTTCGATATGCCAATCAAAATAGACTGAAATACGTTTGAGGTTTTAGATATTATGGGACAAGTTGTTTTTGTAACATATACATTGGCTCTGATTGGTGTAAGTTAAAGATAGTGTTGCATAGTATTACAAATTGTACTATTATATAGGTAACCAATCAGTAAGATTTTACAAAATCAAGCATTAGAAAACATGAGCGTTACAAAATGAAACATTACAGATTGTACATCAAAAATGAGTGGTACAAGTGTAACCATAGCTTTATAAGATAGTACAACAAAAGTGATTGTACATTATGAATAATTGAAATATAGTAATAAAAATATATACATTTTACAAAATTATCATTATTATTAATTGTTAGAAACTGTCATTTCTTCGTCATCAATAATGTTGGTCTTAGTGGCCATTTTTTTAATTAATGTTTATCCTTCACAAGTCTACTTCAGTTAAATTTTAAGACATTGATAACCATATTAATATGAACTAAGAGAGAACCCACGCAATGCGGGATTTATTAAACCAAATATTTTTAATTTAATTATTCAGAACATTAGATTCGAATATATCATTTGTTTTTTACTCGAATATATTAGATTCTGTAAGTTTTGCATTTTGTTTTTTTTCATATAGTTTTAAAATTTAGTTGTTATTTACGTGAAATCTTATATAGACTCATAGTGAATAGTTTCATATGTTTTTTGTTCTTTTATACAATAATTTATCGACTGGAGTTGAGTTCTTCTAATTTTCCTTATACTAACAATCATTATAGATTGATTATTATCCTACAGACTCATAGATAATAATAATTGCAATCCTTTTTAAAAGGAAATGAAATGAGCTAATTAGCCAGTAAGCCCATTTAAAGCTACCATGGAAACGAAGAGGTCCGATAAATAATCAAGCCCATCAAAACGAACAGCATTACACATAATTTTGATTTAGATTTTTTTTTTTTTACGAAAACGACGTCGTTTTGGTGTAAGACGAAAAAAAAAAAAAAAGCGCAAAACGACGTCGTTTTGGTGTTAGGCGAAAAAAAAAAAAAAAAAAAAGTGAATGCCACGTGTCAAAGGCTTGAGAGTGTCCAAGCCTTATTAGTTATGTAGATTATCAGTTTTGGTTTATATACAATTGATAATGAGCATAGGTTATATAATTTCAGTTTATGTTTTTCCTGATTATAACCTGATGTTCATTAATTTTTGTTTCATTTAGTTTTATATGTTGTATTTAAATTAATCAACTTTTAACAGTTTTTTTTTAAAATCTGATTTATTATTATTGTTCTTTTGTCAATAACTTTATTATTTAAATGTGTCAATCATTTATTTTTGTTAAAAAAATCAGATATGTAATTTATATATATCAATTTCGTTTTTATAACTACGTTTTAAAAAATTTATATTATAATATTTTATTTGTTTATTTTTAATAATTTTTATTATAAAAACTAATATTGTACCATTGTAATGTTACTAATAAGAATCAACCACCAAAAAAAAATGTTACTAATAAGAATTTATGTTTGTACTAAAATTAATATTTGTACTGCTATCTTTCGTACTAGTAGTATTTGTACCATTATCTTTCGTACCACTTGTATTTGTACCGTCATCTTTCATAACATCGATTATTTTTATAACACACCACTATTTATTACTTACCAATCTGACCCATTATTTCCACCGTGTAACGTATAATTCATTTATTTAAAGTTACTAGGTTTGAACCCCACGCAAGCGCGGGGTTGTTTGCGATAGTTTTCTGTTTAGTTTTATCTATACTTGTTGATTTGAATTATGATGGTTTTGTATTAACTTTCATGTTTTTTTTATGTTTTGAGTTAACCCAATCACTAACATTAAAAATATGAACAATTTGTCTTTTATTTTATTTTATTAGGATGTTAACACTCCCACTTTATCTCGAGTTTTCTATTTCTAAAATTTTAGCATGTTATAAATATTATGTTTGTTTACTTCTGTTAGACTATAAACATGCATATGCATTGGACTCAACGTTAAAATTTGTAAGCATAATGTAAAATAGCATTTGGACCCGAAATAAGATGAAAAAAATAATATATATACTTTTTTACATATCTACTTTGTTGTGGTAGCATATGAGCCTCATAACCATTGATTATTTTCTATTATGTTAGTTTTGTAAATATTAATTATATTTTGAGACAAACATATCACAATCCTTAAAATTTTCATGTTTTTCACTGCAATTAAATTTACATATAAAAACTCGACTTCTATTTTTTTTTAAATAAACTCTAACTCTAATTTCTCATTGGCTTTTTATTATCTTAATTAATTTATATTCAACTTTTTAACTTGTAAACACATTATAACATTTTGAAATAGGATAAATTCTTTTAATAAAAAGGTAAATATATACCATTTCAAGTTACATATATTTTTACTTATATTCAAACTTTTTGATAAATTTTAACATCAAGTTATCACATATTTTATATTAATTAAGTAATTTAGTTGTGTATTTTTCTTAGTTTTATTTATATTTAAAATATAAATATATGCAAAGAAATATGAAAAGTCATGTATTAAATATCTTAAAAACAATTTAATGAATTTTTGTGCTGATGTGGACACTCTATATGGAGAGAGCAACTCCCTAATTATATATAAGATATACTAATAATAAATGTTATATCAATAGAATTACGTGTTAGTTTTATTCAATGTTTTTGGTTTTGTTTATATCATTTTATACCTAATACATTGGTTTTGTAAACTAAGTTTTGTAAGAAAAAAGTGCCATATAGTACTAGATTATCATATATTAAATACCCCAAGCAAAAGCCAAAGTTCTCTATTGCGATCACAAAATTATTTGACGTTGTTCTTAAATAATTATATTGTTTCCTTACATCTCTCTATTGGGAAAAGTACTATTATTTGATTGAGACTCCACATTATTTTTGGAGTTACGTAACAACAATCACTATTTTCTACAATTTGCTTTTTCCTCTGAAAAAAAAAACCTAATCTTTGATACGTCTCGTCGTCGTGAGTAACATGTTACAGTTTCACCAAACCTCAAAACTATGTGGATCTTGATCATGGATGATCGCATATTTAATTAAAAGGTTATACATCTATAGTTTTTTTTGTAACTTTCATTAATATATATGAGTTTAACTTAGTGGGAATAGTATAATACGCGTAGACAACGAGTAATGTACCCAAATTAGTTCACTAATCACATTCATGAAACGAAAGAAGTGGGACCATCATTACAAATACTTTAACCAAATCAAACGGTGCAGAAAAGAGTTCTGTCCATGATCGTCGTCATTACGGCCGGTGACTTATAAGATATAAGATAAAATAATACTCCTTTCGTCATTATTTTATCTTATTTTGTTTGATACACAAAATACATTAAAACTTTGTAAATATTAATTTACCAACGTCATCCCATCACATATTTTACAATAAGGTAAACCTAATCTTATCTTTATTTAAAAGGTAATCAATTATTTTACACCAATATCTACAACTTTATTGATTTCATCTTTCTTATAAACCATGGCCTTTATTTTTAATTAACTCTTTCTTTTGGTTTAACACTTTAATTTTACATTTTTATCAATAAAAAATTAGTGCCATGTAATACTTACTAAAATATATATATATACCTAATTTAAGTCAGACAAAATGAGATTGACCAACCTTATAAGCTTTAGTTTAATTGGTAACTAACAAATTAATCCAAATTTTATTCTCTTAGTATGATGTTGTCAATGTTTAACTGTAATACATGTTCACCAGATAAAGTATTTTCCATTAGAGAAAATAAAAAATTTCAATAGTTAGTAATTTTAGTTTAATCTAAGTTTCTACTATTCCACTATCTTATCAATATTTTGTTATCTACATTTCTTTCTATTTTCGTATGGTTCTTGATATTATCGGTGTCATTATTGAATATTAAAGAAAAAATAAACAATAAGAAAAAGTCTACAGTCAACAAGAAGGAACCAAAATGCACAAGCAACGATATTCCTCCAGCCTCCCTCCCATCATCACTTTCTAACCATTAGAGGTTTCTCTGTCGATTATTGAGATTTAGATAATCTTTATTTAAATTCTAAAAAATCAAAACCTTTAGTATATATATTCCGGTCATGGCGTTTGGTTCGTTTTAGACGCAAAGAAACACATTTAAACAAATAGCTGAAATCCGTATTTTGCACAAAAAAAAAACAAATAGCTAAAATTAGTTAATCTGTATGCTGTTTAAAATTTATTATTTAATATTTTTTATTACAATTCTTGGTAAATCCGAGACTAATTTATAGGAGCTGAAGTGCAGTTCATAGATTAACTTTCTCTCTACATATTCAAATGGTTCGAAAACAAAGAAACAAATCCGTGTGTTAAGTAAGAATAATTAATGATTTCACGTTTAAAGGAAATTAATCTCTAACTTAAATGAACAGGGAAATTATTTAGTAATTTAAATATGAAATGTCTTTCTATAAAGTATTTAGCTGAGATCCTTTAACAAAAAAAAAGTATTTAGCTGAGATCTGTTACTTTTACTTAACAGTAACAATTTATAGCTTGAATATAATTCTGTTCATGGAATTGGTGCATTTAAAACACAACTAGAAAAAATCTGAAATTAGCTAACTTTTGTATGTCATATAGATTTCTAACTTAGTATGTAGTCATGTTTGATATACATTTGACATATGTTCAAAGTGTCCCACCATTACCATTTTATACTCTAGAATCAGATAAAATTATCCTTTTACTTTTAGAAACCAAGTCACTGAAAAATCTTCGCTGTCCAAAAATTAAATTGAAAAATCTTTGGTGTCAAAAATATAAATCAATTGAAAAATCTCTAAGTGAGTAAACATTAAAGTTAAATGTTTTGATAGAAACTTAATAATATGAAATAGAAACTTAATAATATGAAAAAGCTAAGTAAGGAGAGGAGGAAGCTGAAACATTAACTTCAAATGCAAAAACAAACCAAAAAGGCCATTTTACATATACACAACAAACACTCTCTCTCTCTCTCTAACCTCACCACTTTCTCTCTCTTTCCCTTTTTCACAGCCATTTGTTAGATTCCTCTCTCTTTTCTATTGGATTGTATATTAGACTGATTAGCTCAAGGAACCCAAAAGCAAAGAAAAAATAAATCTCTGATTATTTTTCTCTCTCGTTGTTTCGATTTTTACTTTTCTTCTGGGCTGTTCTTGTTTTCCTCCGACTTTCTGGGTTTTAATTGGCTTCTATTAATCTTCTGCAGAAATAAAAACTCTTTTCTGGGTTTTTCTTCGCAGAGAAGCTTCTCAATACCCAGTATTTTTTTTAGCTCAGTAATAAACAAAAGCAATAATCTTAAAACTCAATTTCTCAAAATCTCTTATACTTGTGAAAACTAGATATTAATTTTTTGAAAAGAGTAAAAGAAAAAGATGGGGAAGCAAGGGCCTTGCTTTCACTGTGGAGTCACAAGTGAGTTCTTGTTTTCTTCAAAATTTCGATTTGATTTTGGGAAAAACTGGCTCTAAGTTTTGATGAACTAGTATTCAATCACTGTTTCGATTGATAATGCAAACGTTTCTTGTAGACATGAACAAACAAACAAAATTGATCATTCATTCGAAATGATTTGGTTTGTGTATGTGTTTATGACCTTGAGAAGACGTTGCGGGTCCTTTTGCTGTTTTGATCACTCACTTTGAATGTTATGAAATGCTTTCAAATCTGTAGTATTTTTGCAAAAATGGGATCTTGGTGTGTCTTCTTAAATGCATCAAGACTTGAGAGATCATTGTTCTTGCTGCTTATGAAATGCCTGAATATGTTGCAAACAGGTACGCCTCTATGGAGAAACGGGCCACCGGAGAAGCCGGTGTTGTGCAATGCGTGTGGTTCGAGATGGAGAACGAAGGGAACGCTTGTGAACTACACGCCGCTTCACGCCCGTGCAGAAGGTGATGAGATTGAGATTGAGGATCATAGAGCTCAAAGGATGATGATGATGAAGGGAATGTCTGTCAACAGCAAGAACAACAACAAGAAACAGACTCCCAAGAGGAAACCATATCAAGAAAACTTCACTGTGAAAAGAACCAACTTGGAATTCAAGAAGAGGTCTCTAGAAGAAGAGGGAAGCAATAGATCGAGTTCGGGGTCGGTTGTGTCGAACTCAGAGAGCTGTGACCAGTCTACTGCTTTCCCTTGCAAGAAGAGGACATGTGTGGTGGTGGGGCGTCCAAAGGCGGCTTCTTCTGTTGAAAAGCTCACAAAGGATCTCTTTAGTATCCTGCAAGAACAGCAATCTTCTTGTGTCTCTGAGGAAGATTTGCTTTTTGAGCAGGAAACACCAATGTTGATGGGACATGGGAGTGTTCTTATGAGAGATGAGGAATCTGAAGCTAGCTCACTCTTGGTTGAGAGCAGCAAGTCCTCGTCAATACATTCTGTTGAATTTGGTGGCAAGCAGGAGCAACTCAAGAGGTAGTCAAACCCTTCTGTAGACGAGAAAGATTTAAGATTGATTTGGGAGATTCTTAATCATGTTCTTGGTTGCAGGACCAAACCTCAAGTCTTGGGAAGACATAGTTTACCTCTCTGTAGCATAGATTTGAAGGTAATGATTTTCAGTTCCTAGCAATTGTGTTTTCTTCAAAGAGAATGACTTAAGTAAAGGTAAAATCTTTCCGCTGCAGGATGTGTTCAACTTTGATGAATTTGTAGCAAAATTCACAGAAGAAGAGCAGCGAAAACTGCTCAAGTTGCTTCCTCAAGTTGACTCTGTTAACTTTCCTGATAGGTAGGTATTGGAGTCACTGAAACTTCAATTTTAACTAAGCAGCTTCTTAACCTTTTTTTCTCTTTTTGGCAGCCTCAGAAGCATGTTTGAGAGTTGTCAATTCAAAGAAAACTTGTCCTTGTTTCAGCAACTAGTTGCAGATGGTGTCTTATCATCATCATCATCATCTTCTTCCTCTGGATCAAAACTTGAAGACTATAAGACACTTGCAAAGCTTGCTTTAACCGATCCTAACAAATCCCATTTGCTCGAAAGCTATCACATGCTCAAGGTATGAAAACAAAAAGTTTGTTTCTATAGTTTGGGCTTTTGTTGACTGTAAATCTTTGTATCAGGAACAGAGAAAGGGGATTGAAGACTCTGTGACTACAACATCAAGGGTCTCAATACCTTGTGAAAGCTTAAACCAAAACTTCTCAGGTCAATTCAAGATTCTTGAGTCATGGCAAATCCATTACTTTCTGAAATATAATATGCCAGTTTTTCTGAGTTTTTTTTTTTTGCATTTCTCCAGAGACAAGAGCTGTGATGAGAAGCCCGAAGGAAGTGATGAAGATAAGAATAAAGTCAAAGCACATGGAAGAAGCACAAGAGGTTTTAGAGAAGAGTGTGTCTTCTTATGGTGGCTCTATGGTGTTTGGCTATGAAGATAATGATATCTCTGATCAAGATCTTCTTCTTGATGTGCCGTCGAATGGATCATTCCCTCAAGCAGAGCTTCTTCACATGATATGAAAGAAGAGAAATTTTCTCTCAAAATTATCTCGAAAGAGAAAACTTTTTTACTCTTTCTCTGAGAAAATGTTGCCAAATGAGATTTCTCTGCAACAGAAATTGCAATCTGCAGATATATATATATATATATAAAAGGAAGAGAAAGGATTTTTATGTAAGGGCCTCTCGTTGGTATATTGATACATGTAACTCTCTCTTCTTCTCTTACTATACTTCAAGAACAAGAAACGTTCGTTTAAAAAGAAAAAAACTATTCTCTTTGAAATTTGATTTTGTTCTCTTGTATATCGTATTGGATGATAAAATTGTATAGCATTTATGTTTTTAATATTAGTCAGGCAACTTTTTTGTTTTACACGTAAAAAGAAGGTTAATTACACGTATATTGTAATTTGATTTTTATAAATAGAGATATATTAATTACTAAACCCGTGACGGATATACAAATTTTATTCAACGCTCTAGTCTCTGCCAGATATTTCTTTTTCCGGTGACAGTTAGTTTCGCGGGAGCCGGGAAGAAAACGCAGCGGGAGATAGAAGAAGAAGAAGAAGGTGAAGATGACGATCGATCAGTCGTCGTTTACTCATGGCGATTCTCTGGTAATACATTTTTCGTTTTTCTTAGTCATGAAATTTCGTAGATCCTGTTTACTGATCTAAATTTCGCTACTCGCCGTATTCGGATGTTTCGCCTTAGTTCTGAGTTCCTGCTTTCATTTTCTTCCAACTTTCCCGAGAAAATTGAAATTCGAATGCCTTAAAATCCATTTTCTGTTTTGGCTTGAAATTTCTGTAAACATTGTGTAGATTTTGCGTTCGTGTGGATGACTCTCGAGATATTTTTCCGCATCTGACGCTCATCGTCATATAGAAAGATTATCCAGGTTTGTATATCGAGAATCGTTCCAATATTTCTTACTCAAGCCACATTCATTTTTACCACACTGTTTAATACCATCTTTGTTTGCGATCGAAGAGAAAATTCCTCAAATTAGATATTTTTGTTCTTGGAATGTTTCGTTTTTTTTTAGGTTTTGATTGTGTAGAGATTGAAGTCATTGGAATGATTATTGATCTGTATTTACTAAAGAAATTGAGTTTTGATGTTTCCACAGGAAGATGAATTCTCGTAAGCGACCAATCGTCTTCACCATTCGACATTTCCCACTTGGCTGTGGAACCCTCTCCAATCCTGCTCCGTCGAATCTTCCTCCGAGATCCATCAAGAATCCAGGAAGTAGCAACGTTGATTCAGCTCCTAAACCGAAACGAACTTGTCTCGATCTTGGCTATGTTGTTGTTGCAGCTCCCAGAACTAAAGGAACCTGGTTTCAACAAGACCCTGATCATGATCATGATCATCTTCTTGCAGCTCCTAAACCAAAAGGAAGAAGTTCTCTCAAACAAGAACCAAAGTTTGAAAACATTAGTCATGATCATCTTCATCGTGGTCCTAGTGCTCGTGAGAAAGTGATTGAGGCATTGCATGTTTTCAAACAAGTTTACAGGCAGCTGGATCAAGATAAGCAAGCAAGACGCGGTGGAGATTTATACGAGGCTACAGCGAGAATAGACATCAAGACACAAGCTGTGTTGGAGAGAATGGGGAAACAAGTGAACACGGAGAAGAGAATCGGACTTGTTCCCGGAATCAAAGTCGGCGACGAGTTTCAGTATAAAACAGAGCTTCGTCTTGTGGGGCTTCATTTCAAGACCATGTGCGGGATCGATTATATGAAAGTCGGAGATGAGAAGCTTGCCACAAGCATCGTTGCCTCAGAAGGATATGGTTATGTTGATGAGTTTGATGACGGCGTTGTGGTTTACACAGGTGAAGGAGGTAACGTGATAAGCAAGGAAAAGAAAACCGAAGATCAGAAATTGGTTAAGGGCAATTTGGCTTTGGCCAATAGTATGAAACGTAAGGGTGTAGTGAGAGAGATACGTGGCGAAGAGAGATGGGACAAAAAGGGAAAGCGTTATGTGTACGATGGATTGTATTTGGTTGAAAATTACTGGTTGGAGAGAGAAGCTATAGGTAAGCTTGTCTACAAGTTCAAACTTTGTAGAATTCCTGGTCAACCTCGTTGACTTGATAACAGTGTAATCAGATATATGACTATGATTGTGCAAAGTTACGTAAATAATAGTCTAGTAACCATTGAAACACCTTGTGAAATCTTCTCAAGCTGAATCAAGATTCTTGAATCATGCTCAATCCACAACTTTTCACAATAAAATCTTTTTTCTTGGAACTTTGTTTTGTACTTCTAATAAGTATTGGATGATCAAATATTTTATACACCCTCTTTATCACAATATGTAATATTTTCACTTTTTTTTTCTTTTTGATTTTTAAATAAGTGATATTTTGGATTTATAATACAAAATGTTAATACATTTTTAATATTCTAAATTGTCAAGAACTAGATTAGGCTTCACATATACACAAAAAACACAAATTGTTTTTGAGAATTTTTTTTAATAAATTACGAAAAAATATTTTAAAAATATGATTACTCTTAAAACTAAGTAAAATAATATTAAGAATCTGATAATAAATCTCTAAATAAAATAAGTTTGAGAATTTATTTAATTTCAAATTATAATCAGACATTTTTTTTTTAATTCATGATATGAGAAACAAATTAATTTGATTTTTCGTTATCTTTATCTAATCGGGAAAAATGTACTTGTGTCTAAATCTAATTGACTGATTAATTTGTGAAAATTCAGATTATTCCATTAAAAAGAGTTCAATTGAAAAATGTTTTTTTTTGTTATTTTTTATTTAATTGAAAATTAAGAATAAACTATTGCAAAATTAAAATATCAGACCATTACAAATTTCTATTTTTATTGTTAGTTAGTTGTTTGACAATTATGCAGTTAGTTTTCCATTTATATTATTACATTTTCAAAAACTTTATGTTGACACATGTCATCAATATTATACACTTATAAGATTGAGAATATATTTACCTTTTGATCATAATCTTTTTGTTTTTTGGAAATTGAGTTTATTTGATTAACTCTTTATCTCTATATAGTAATACATAATTTATGAACTTTGATTATTCCATTCAAGATATTTCAACTGATTATTGTTTTTATTAAAAAGTTTAAAATTTGAAATTTAAACTATTTGAAAATTAGAATATCAAACTATTATTTTTTTTCCTTTATCCTTATTGAAAAATAAACTATTGGAAATTAGACCCAATATCTTCCCGTTAGATATTTTCCTTTGGATTAGTTAATTGTTTTACAGTTATTTTGTAAGTTTTCCATTTTTATTATTATTTTTTTCATAAAATTTCACTGAAATATGTTATCATCTCATTAATATTAGATACAAGTTACAATTCAATGATTTATCTTATTGCGCTTATCTAGTTATATATAATAAGATATTTAGATATTTAACTATAAGTGTCAAAGGTAACATTTTTTTTTAATACAGATGGAGTAGCACTTTGATACCAGATGCAAGGACGAAACAATAAATTCTAAGTTTGTAGGTTTTTCTTTTTCAAGGTGAACTAGGTAAATGACAGAAAATGAAGATTTATTTAGGTAAAAGACAAATGTTAAATTCCTATAAGAAGCAAAAAGAAAGTGATAAAAAATGGGTGAAATATCAACACGTCATTTTACTAAACTGTTTTTCTAAAATAATCAATACTATTAAAACTGAGTCACAAAGGGTATTCCAGTCTAAAAAAATTGGAGGAAAAATGAGTAATTTACCAAAAAACCAATCAGTTAACAAAGAAAAGGTGTTTGGAAACAGGGATAAACAGGTAGTTTTTTGGGAGAAATTTCGGAGCAAAACTGAGTCGACTCAGTTGACTACGAATCGACCCGACCCGACCCGGATCCAGTTAAAAGCACGCGGATCCTTTGTCCGGATTGGAAAGGAAACCATTTGAGATCTTAAATTTCAAATCAAGATATTTCCTTCGGTTTTGTGTGGAGTTGCGTGGACCACAATCCTTTCCTGGAAAAACTGATTCGAATCAAAGATGCGATTATACCTCACAATTAAAACTGATTTAACAAATCACAGTTAATGGAAACATTTGCCGGTATTAGTTGACATATTATTCGAGATTGATCCTCTTGCTATAATTTAATATTCAAACTTAAAGTCCCGTATCTACAATCGAGGATATTCCGTGTCCAACACTGTGAAACCCTGAGACCGGATTCTTCTCCACAAAAATCAAAATTTTAACCTAATTGTTTCAGTATAAATAGACCTTCCTCTATAGCCTCCCAAAGAAAAAGAAAAAAGTCGAGAATAACTATATTCTTTGAATCAATTTTAGTGGCTCCTTTTTGTTTAACATACCTTGATGTCTTTCTTTTCAGGTTGGCGAATCCAAGCAAGCTTCTTCATGTTTGGAAGCAATACATGGCGGCTGCTGGATAGACATTAGAGATGATTCTAGCAGATCAAAATGTAAGGTTATTCTTCAAACTCTGTAAACAAGCCATTACCTTGAAATCTTATATGTGGAGCCCTTCAAATTAAATTGGGCCATCCAGGTGAAGATCTTCCATACAATAGAGATGGTACTCTACTTATGTAAAACATCGGAGCTGCGGTGAAGCTGATCCTAGCAGAAGAAAGGTAAGTAATTCTAACATCAGAATCAGTTACGCTTTTTAGGGTGTGAAAGTATATTTTTTGAAACATGCTTTACCCGTCTTGAAAGGAAACTTCATGTTGGCGAGTGGGCATCGAGACAATACAACAAACAATCTTCAGCGTGTTAACAAGAACTTTGTCACTAATTTCATAGCTGTGCACAAACCTGCGACCAAATTTGGAGAAGACCAAACTCAAAAGAAATGATAAACATAACACATGGCAATTTCAAATAAAAAGAGAAACAAAGCTCACAACAAAAAGAATACCAAAAGAAATTGTGAGAACATCACATATAAATTATTCACTTAAACACATCAAGATCAATGGAATCCTTCTCCTGTGATTTCCGGTTCAAAAGATTGAGGAACGAAACACATCAATTGATGAAATAAAGGACCATATTAAACCAAACTAGAACAAAAATAATGAAATCTAATAGCTAACCTCGATCGCATAATCGAATCCGCGTAGAAAACTTCACTCTCATAAGATTTGGCTTTGGAGGAAGCAATGATACACGTGTGGTTCATCTATTAAAAATAGAACAATTGTAAGACACTGAGTTGATCAAAGGCCTGAAGCTAGAACAGAACAGACTCAGGAGGATCCAGTTTGTGGGAACAAAGCTAAAGATAATGGAAAAGCAAAGGAGGCTAAGCCCAACTCTGATGATGATGAAGTATATGGACTTTGAGAAAAACCGGAAAAGGAAGAGTTAAAAGTTGATCAAGCTACGCTTAAAGAAATGAGAAGGCAAGAAGGTAACTAACTTTACTTAGCTTGATTTCTCACAAACTACGCATTTGTCTACGCAATTATTTATCCAACGAAATATTTGTCCAAAACTCTACAAGCAAAAACCAAATTTTCTAAGAAACAGAGAATAAACCACAAGTCATTGTTTTACTGAGACACCAACAGACCTGCACAGAAACAAAAACCAAAAATAATCAGCAAAAAAAAAAGCTTATCATGTATTACATTCATACGTAAACGGAAAATTAAAACACGGATGAACTAAAGATATAAATAGAGTACACATGCCCTAAATTATCTATGATATACTAATGCCATATTTTTGAATCAGTTTAGTATCTAATGCCATATTTTAGAATCAGTTTTGCTATGTAGTCAATTTAGAGTCAGAAAAAACCTACAATTCATTATATGAAAAGTGGTTTTGTGTACTAACCTTAATTAGTTTTCTTAATCAAGCATGGATTATTTTAACCCGTTTAGAAAACAATGATAAAATCCTTAGCTCCAACAAAGGTAACACTTTGGACCTTTCCTCTCTACAAGTTTCCTTTATTGAAAAGAGTGAAAAATTGCTTAGTTCGGACCCAAGTTTGAAACACTGTTATCAGTGACGAGGAGATAGTAACACAACCAGAAATTTTTTAAAAGCTATCAAGTGACGAACTCAAGAAACCAAACAATGCCCATGAACAGCTATCAAAGAAGAGATAGAAAGTACACTATGAGCTATCAAAGGAAACAAGTAGTGATAACTTATTTTAGCAAAAAAAAAAGATATTTAGCTCGCGAAGACAGAATTGAACCTCAAATGCCTCAAGAAGAATGGAGATTCATTCAATTCATTGTTATTAATCATGCAACGGGTCTATACATGAAGCTTTAAATGGACTGGTCTGTACCTGACAACATCGGTATTGTGTTTGGCGATGTAAGGTTCAGTTTTTAGCATCGGAAATTCACTATCACCGAAAATCATACGAGCAAGGAGGAGATGATAGTTGTCAGAAAAGGTTATCCTGAGATCATCAAGGCATCGGAAAGTCCCGATGATTCATTGGAGAAGAAATCATGAAATAAAAAAGTATGGCTTCACTGGATTCTGTAAATCAAAAGCGATTAAGGCGTGAAGAAGTTGATACTGCTTGAAGGTGTATACCTAAAACCCGAAACCAGATCCCTAGATCGAGATTACAGAGAATTAAAGATAATACCACTGTAACATGCAGAGCTGATGCCTCCTGGAGAGGAGATTGTAAGGTGACGGGTTTGGGTTGGGAGTTTTCATCCTGCTCTGATCGTGTGCTCTCACAACACTTATTAATGGCAGAAAGTCCGGCGATTCGTGCGGCACTGGAAGAGACACTTATTCGTCGTTTCAAGAGTTTATGGCTGGAACCGGATCCAAGCAATTACGACATGAGCAGGTTTCAGAGTTTCGCTGAGTTCCATGGCGACGTTTGAGACACCTTGAATTTCGTCGGTCATCGGTGAATTGCAAATTAGAAACTGCATCTCCAGCATCTCCAAACCGGTAGTAACTGATTTCTGCATGTCGTGGATTCAATTCAAACTGATTAGAACAAAGTTTCTATCGGAGATGAACAAGCGTCGAAAAAAAGATCCGGAGAAGAAGACTCTGGAACTTCTCACCGAAACTGAAGAAGAAGAGTTTAATTCCAGAGAAAGAAAAAAAGAAGAACGAGAAGATACAGAGAGACGGTGTTCGTATGAGAAAACGGAAGAAGCAATGGAAATTGGGATTCAATTTGGGTCGAATGTTTTTGTTTATTATTATATTGATCTTATGTTAGTGTTGTCCATTGTACTGTTTTTAATAAGTTTTTTTTTATAAATGATACACATATTACAATCTTAATAAGAAATTTAATCATGTGTAATATATCACTGTATAAGTATATTATATGTCCAGTTTTACTTTACAACATTCGGCTTGAAAATTTATCTTGTCAAAGATCCTACAACAGGGGATTCTATGCCATCAAGACAGCCAGCATGATATTCCAAATCAAAAGCAAAGAAAAAGATATTAACTGGGCAAGAAAGATTGTTAGCGAGGTTAGATCTATTAGATTGAGATGTTTTTAGCGGATATCAAAGGTGCAATAAACAAATGTTGTCACAACAACATTATAATCAAACTTTAAAACAATATCCAATTCTAAAAATTTAACATTCACAAATTAAATTAATTCAAAGATTAGCAATATTACACGTGAGAACATTTCTTTAAATCCGGGTTTTTTCCGAGAAACATAAAAATGATCGGATCTGATCAAAACTGAAAATTTGTAATGTTGACTTTACCATGTCTGATGAACAACTTTACAAAAGAAAATAAAAAAAATATGGGTTGAAACAAGTTAATCTCATTCAAATAGTTGAGACTTATAAGTTAGCAACATCACGGGTCAGAACCAACATTTCTTAGATCCGAGTTTTTCCCGAGAAACATAAAAATGATCAGATCTTATCAAAACTGAAAATTTGTAATGTTGATTTTAACATGTCTCATGGACAACTTTACAAAAGAAGAGAAAAAAATGATCTGGGTTAAACAAATAAATCTCATTCAAATAGTTGAGGCTTAAAACAAAAAAAATCACAACAACATTTTTAATCAAATTTTGAAACAATTAATATCCAATTTTAGAAACCTAATGTTCACAAATTGAATTAATTCAAAAGTTAGCAATATCACGGGTCAAAATCAACATTCCTTTAGATTAGGGTTTTTCCCTAGAAACATAAAAATGATCGTATCTAATCAAAACTGAAAATTTGGAATGTTGATTTTAACATGTATCATGGACAACTTTGCAAAAGAAGAGAAAAAAATATGAGATATGTTGAAATAAATAAATCTCATTCAAATAGTGGAGGCTTAAAACAAATAAATCAAAACAACATTTATAATCAAATTTTGAAACAATATCCAATTTTAGAAACCTAATGTTCGCAAATTAAATTAATTCAAAAGTTAGCAATATCACGGGTCAGAACCAATATTCCTTTAGATCCGGCTTTTTCCCAAGAAACATAAAAATGATCGGATCTGATCAAAACTGAAAGTTTGTAATGTTAACTTTAATATGTCTTATGGACAACTTTACAAAAGAAGAGAAAAAAGTGATATAGATTAAAACAAATAAATCTCATTCAAATAGTTGAGACTTAAAATATGATAAAAAAAATGTTATCACAACGACATTTTAATCAAATTTTAAAACAATATCCAGTTTTAGAAACCTAATGTTCACAATTGAAATTAATTCAAAAGTTAGGAATATCACGAGTCAGAACCAACATTCCATTTAGATCCGGGTTTTTTCCGAGAGACATAAAAAAGATATGTGATCAAAACTGAAAATTTGTAATGTTGACTTTAACATGTTTCATGGACAACTGAAATTAATATTATAGCCACATATACCTTAATAAACTCCTCGAAATTCAATTCGAATTCTCACGTCCACGACTCCAAATTCTAAATTCACGACCTCTTTCATCTTAGGAGCAATATCAATCCGCGGTTCGACCAGTATATAGGTACAACAAAAGAAGAGAAAAGAGGATCTCTAATTTGTTTGAGACACAATCTCGATTAACGATTTAGGGTTCGGTTTGTAAACGGCTCCCAAATTCGAAACTTTTATTTACAAGTACGTGTAAAAAACAAAACGATGTCACTTTACTTAGTAAGACATCTAATACCATCATGCACATTCATTTTTGAATCCAACTCATCTATAAATCGAAGAATGAGCCCAAAATATCAATAATCAATTTTCTTTTATTGTTAAGTCAGTCCAACATGAATTTTAATAACCCGTGCTGTGACAGTACGGGTCAAGATCTAGTTTAAATTATAAATGGGTATTAATTAATTTAAAGAACCTTGTCATTTATTTATTTTCTTTAGTTTTCTAAAAAGATAGTGTGAAATCAACTTTTCTAACATCAATTTAAAATTTTCATATTTTGTAATCATCTTTTTGAACTATTAATAGGAGAATATGCTTTTATAGACTGAAACTTTATATATGTATTTAAGGTAATGTAGAGATTCCACGTAATACTTTTTTCTTATCAAACAGCAAGGCAGCAGCATCAGCTTCGCATTATTGATTTACTAATTTAAGCAGCATTGCTATATTCTTACTTCTAAACAAATTTACTCAAAACTATACGATAATTAATTAATTCAGTTAACGTTGTGGGTCCATATTAATGGAGATCGATGTTCAATGAATTACATCTTTTTTTGTTTTTTTTTTTATATATAATCTCTCAAAACTCCACTAGATTCTCAACACCAAAATCTTTGTTCTTTAACAAAAAAAAACACCAAAATTTTTGTTTCCACTGACTAGTTGTTTTGCCCGTGACGGAGAAAAGCGCAGACGTAGAAGCAGAAGATCAGTCAGTCGTCATTCTCTGGGTACATTATTAAGTCTTTGTTTTTCTAACTCGTGAAGTTTCGTTCATAAATTTCTCTCAAACTTTTCCTTAAACGCGTTTTCTTTCACTGATTTCGTCCTACTTCTGAACCCATGCTTTCAATTTCTTCCAACTGTTTTTTTTTTTTACTTTCTGTTTTTCGAGAAAATGAAAAGGAACAAATGCCTTTCAAATCCTCTTTGCTGATTTTGTTTGGATTATCTTTGCAAAATTTCCTCACAATCTGAAGAAATTGATTTGAAAACAGGTGAAAAAATCGAAATCGTCGCCCTACCGCATTATTCAGGTTCGCATTTTCTTTTATCTGCAATTCGCGTGTTCTCTTTCACAGGTTTCCTCTTAGATCTTCAGAGCTCATGCTTTTTAGTTTCTTCCGACCGCTTGAAACTGAAATCTGAATCTTTCAAATCCCCATTTCTGTTTTTTCTTGGATTTTCTTCAATCATGTTTCACAACTCTGTTTTCGACAAAATAAAATAAAATAAAACAATAATTGTCCTTGAAAATGGAGTAAATTTTCCTGAAATTAAATCTCCGTACTCATTTTTGTTTATGTTAAGGGCTTTAAATCTCCGTAGTCGAGTCAGGCTAATTAATGGTTCCTTCTTATTGCAATGTGTTTTGGGTTTAGAGATTTGAAATCACAGAGCTTTATCATTAGTGACCGATTACTAAAGAAATTGATATTGTGCATTTTGTAATGTTTCTACAAGAGAAGATGAAGCGACCAATGGTCTACGCAATTCGAGATTTCCCAGCTGGTTGTGGAACTAATGTTCCTGAGAAGGGATTCAAGAATCCAAGAACAAGTGATGTTGCTTTCAAGAATCGGAGTGTAAACGTTGTTGCATCTCCAAAACGGATTGGAGCTTCTCTCAAGGAAGAAAAAGAAGAGTTCAAGAAACCCAAACATGATCATGTCCCTAAACCTGAACTAGCAACTTGTTCCAAAGAAGAACCAGAGTTTAAAATCTCTGATCCAACTCCTCGGGAGAAAGTTCTCGACGTGCTGCGTGTTTTCAAGCAAGTTTACAGACAGTTGGATGAAGACAAACAAGCAAGGCGCGGTGGAGATTCGTTTGATGCTACAGCGAGAATAGACCTCAAAACACAAGCTGTCTTAGAGAAAATGGGGAAACGAGTGAACACGTATAAGAAGATCGGACATGTTCCTGGAATCCAAGTGGGTGATGAGTTTCAATACAAAACTGAACTTCGTCTTGTCGGGCTTCATTCCAAGACCATGGGCGGGATCGATTATATGAAAATCGGAGGCGTGAACTTCGCGACAAGCATCGTTGCCTCGGAAGGATATGATTATGATGATAAGTTTGATGCTGATGTTGTGACTTACACAGGTGAAGGAGGTAACGTAATCTGCAAGGGAAAGAAATCTGAAGATCAGAAAATGGTCAAAGGGAATTTAGCTTTGGCTAATAGTATGAGGCATAAGAGTGAAGTCAGAGTGATACGTGGCCAAGAGAGATTGGATAAAAGGGGGAGGCGTTATGTCTATGATGGATTGTATTTAGTTGATATATATTGGTTAGAGAAAGGAGATAGTGGTAAGAGTCTGTACAAGTTTAAGCTTTCTAGGATCCCTGGTCAACCTCCGTTGACTTGAGAACATCATTATTATCAGATAGATGAAATAAATAAATTTATGGAAGTGGTCCACAGTCTTTACATGATACAATACATTTATTGACTCCCATGAAAAATAAACACTCAAACAATCAAATTTGCCAATGTACTTTTTTTCAAAGAAGCCCTTTAACACAAAAAAAGAAAAGAAATTATTTTCAAAGAAATTATATCACTCTCAAGAGTGGTTGGACAAATATGAAATTTGAAAAAGCATTATTCTTTTATATCAACATACCATTTTGATCCTAGTATTTAATGGATGTTTTCTGTTTAAGATGACTAAAATTAAGAAACATTTAGAGAATATACAAGGGAAATTTGGCAAAATACTCAAAAAAAGAGAAGAGTTGTCGTCCTTCTACTCTTATTTTTACCACTTTCACTTAATTAAATTTTAAACCCAATTTTAACTCTCAAATCAAGTTTTAATCAAATTTTATATTAAATAAATAATTAAATAATTAACTAAATTAATAACCAATAGTTAATTTTTCAAAAATATTTTCTAAAATTAATAAATCCAATTATTTTTTTCAAAAGATTTTCTAATATTAAAATTACCATTTTTCTAGAAACAAATTAATATTAAGACAACTTGGCCTTCACATTCTCACAAACAACCGTCATGTTCTATTCCCTCCACTGTGAAAACACCTATGGTGGTGACGACAAAAAAGAGTTTGAAGAGTAGTGACCAGTGACCACCGTAAGATGTGAGCTGGTTCAGATGATATTGGTCTGAGTTCTGAAACTTCTTCATTATTGGTCATGATTATTAGAAGCGGTTGTTTCACCTCCTTGATGATGCTTTGTTCATTCATGTTGGATGCATGGTGTTAATGGTGGTTTCACACAGTTGATTGGTTGTTTTATCAACTAATCCTATACTATAGGTTACATGTGGAATTATCTAACCACTTCTATTTGATTAGTTAAAATGTTGTCATGCTTTAGATTCATTAGAAATTTTAAGCCTTGATTGTTTGTGGTTTTTGCAATGGTTTTTGACTTTTTGGTTTTGGTTTTTCCAAAAACCATTTTATTCTCTAATCAAGATTCTTAATAAGTAGATTTCCTAAAATCTAGGGAAACTAGTTTTTCAAAGTAACTTCCAATTTGTATACAAAAACCAAAATCCACATTTTTTTGGTTTCTCTCCTTCTACGACAGATTTGTTTTTTTCTCTTACTTATATTTTAAACTTTTTATTATTTTAAAAATCTATAGAAAAACCAAAATCAAAAATTAAAATCTAAAATCATAAACTAAAATCTAAAAACCAGAATCCAAAATCTAGAAACTAACCAAACAATCATGGCCTTAGAGAATAGACTACTCACCATTTAAAATTTACTTGGGTGTTAAAAAATTATTTTGAAATATTAAGCATGAAAAAATTTTGATTTTAATTTTTTATAGTCCAATATTCTAATTTTTTTATTCAATTATATTTTTCAGTAGTCATATATTTAGCAGGTTATTAATTACTTTCCATTGGTGGTATCCAATTTGCTAATTAGATAAAATTGTAAAAAAAAGAAAAGTTTCAAAGGTATATGTTTTAAGAGTTGTATAATATGAAATTTTAAATCCTGTGTATAAGCAGGATCTAATGTTATTTAAGTATGTGTTTTTTTTTTCAATTCCTTTTAATTCCTGTGTTATTCAAGTATGTGTTTTTTCAATTCCTTTTAATTCCGGTGTTATTCAACTTATCCGTTTTTTAATTCCATTAAATTCCGGTGTTATTCAATATCAGAATGTATTTGGTGGTATTATCAATTGGAAGGAATTTAATAAAATTTGAAGAAAATTTTGTAAAGGCTCAATTTTCCCAGTTTTTGCAGAGATTTTAGTAGAATTGATTGAATTCCTAACAAATACTTTAAAATCCATTAAAATTGAATTCTTTTGATTTCTTCCTAATTCTAGCCACTAAATGCTGTGGAAGATTTTACATCACCCCACACACATACCAGTACCACACTACCACTACGCAATCGGAATAACGCTTCACGTAATTATCAAAATTAACTATGTAATTAGTTGCTGATAATTCGCTTCATTATTTATAACCGAAAACCATTAACGTAGTTAGTGCTTAGTGGCTCCTTTTTTTTTGTTCAAACACTTAAAGTTCATTAATTTAAATCTGGGGCTACAAGGCAAAGAGGGAATTAAGCATCCTCTTGAAATCATACAATAAAGCATAGCTAAACTAGAAATTAAACAAGATAAATCTTCATAAGACAGCGAATTAAAAGCAGAACTCCAATGCGTCAGAAGAGGTTTCACGGCCAAGCCGGAAAATTGTAACCTAGTCACTTTATGAAGTGACGTTAAAGAACAGCTCCTACCTCCGAATTTCGTTGAAACGAATCCGGTTACATCTTCAGACCCCGTGCAGGTCGTTCCACAAGATGACAATACGGTGAGGATGTTGTAAAAGTTCATCGATTTTGGAATCGAGAATAAACCACTTCTCATAGAGAAGAGAAGGTGTGGAAAATTTCTCTCCTCTAAGGAGGAGGAAGATTGAATAGATCTCTCCATGCCAGTAGAGGAATTTGAGATAATAAACATTACCAAAAAAAGGGAAGATGAAATTATCCCGGCACAAGAGCTTCCGGCGCCAACTGAATTCAGCAGATTATGAGAATGAGAGACTGGGCCGAGCAGAAGCAGAGATGAGTAGAGGAGACCCACGATGGTCAATATGGGCCACAACCAAAATAGATACGATGAAGCTCGGAGAGAGGTGCAGATCGACGATAACGCGATAACCTTTTTACAACGCCGGAACAAGATATGCAAATTGACCGTACCGGGAATCCAAGATCCCGGTGTCCCTTCGCCGGCGAGGAGTAGGACATGAAGCTTCGTATGGGCAAAGCTTAGAGATATGGTGGAGGAATAGTCGATGAGGATGATGATGAAAGGAGATGTAAAAGAAGCGGATCCGGAATGGATCCTCGGCAAGACTAGCGAGCTCTCAAGCAAAACCGCAAAGGAAGGAACCGCCCTCTGCGGAAAGGAGAGAAGATGAGATGGTAAACCTAGATCCAAAATCGTCCGGCGGGTCAGGCGGATCTGGTGGGTCGGGAGGGTTGGAGAAGTTCACCGACGAAGACCGAGAGTTGAGCCGGCGGAGGAGAGGCCGTCTTCACTGGATCTAGATCCGACGGTGGATCTTCACAGTGGCGAGGACGCATCGTCTGAAGCATGAAGAAGGGAAAGCTCGTCGGGAAGCGGAGGCGACGAGGGAAGGGAACCGGGTTCCGACCAGCCTCTGCAGCGACCAGACGGAACAGCGGCTTCGGCGGAGCTAGACGGACGAACGGCCGGAGGTAAGGCTAGGTCGGAGACTCATCTGAGGAGTGAGTTGCGTCGGCGGCGGCTACCTCGGTCGGTGTGCCTGGGAGAGAATTAGGGCGAACCGCGGTTATTTTTCTTTTAATTCGCTTAGTGGCTCCTTGGAAACGATTATTGTTGTTCAAAAAATAAGTAATGAAAAAAGCTGATTTTAAAACGAAACTCGCAATTTAATTCCTTTAAACAAACGGTCTCTTTTGTGACTTCTTGTTTTCCAAGCCTTCGAGAGAGTAGAAGAATCCAGAAGAATCCAGAGTGCAGAGATAGTCGAAGAAGAAGACGATAACCAGTAATTAACTAATTACTCGTCGTCTTCCTCGTGAGACTTTCTTTGATTTAGGGATTTGTGTTGTTGCTGTTTCTGTTTATCACCTTTTCAACTTTGTACGAGGCTCTAGAAATTGGTCACATAATTTCGCCATTTCTGTTCGAATTTGCGTGTTCTTTGACTTGATTTCGCATTTGTTCTGTATTTCTGTTTTCGGTTTCGTTTGATTAAACGCATTCATTGTTCTGACGTTTGCTAGGATTTTGTTTACACAGGGTAAATTTCGTCGGAGCCGCTGCGAACTTTGGGTTGAAATCAAGTGTTAAAATCGATTTTCGCACTAACACAAGGTTCGTATCTTACAATTTCCATGATCTTACGCACAATAATGGTTCGAAATTTCAACGCGGCAACTATAATCACTCCACTTTGTGTTATTGTTACTGTTCATCCTTAAACCCTAATTTACTGTGCAAAAATTTATGGATTGGCTTCGTAGATTGTTCTATATCCATTTGTCCGAGTACAAAATCAGTCAAATTATTTGTCCCCTGTAGTTTCCTTGCAATTTTTCTTGATTATGTGTGAGAAGAGAGAAAAATTTGATGGTTTTTTGTGTGCCTTAAGTTGTTCTCAGAGTTTTGGGTCGCATGATGCTTAGTCAGGGACTGGGGCTTAGCAGTAACTAAGAGTTGGATTATATATTGATGCAGGAAGATGATCGAAAAGACTCTCAATAAGCAGCAAAAGGTCTGTGCTATAAGAGACTTTCCATATGGCTGTGGTACTCAGTGTACCAAGAAGGAGGTTATTGAGATGCAACATAGTTGTGTTGGTGTTACCGATGATCAAGATTACTACCACAGGTGTGAAGAAGTTGATGGGATTATGAAGAAAGCTGGCTTCAGTTTAGCAGCTAATGGTAGTAACGTTGGGAAGGGAAGACTTGTTTGGGCTAAGAGGAAGCTTCCTCCATCCTGTGGAAGTAAAGTGAAACCACTAGGAAGCAATGAGGTTGGATCGAGACAAAGCAGCCCGGTGTGGAGAAGTAAAAACTGACACGAGTCACGTTACACGGACTATCCTCAAGAGCGAGGGGATGCAAGTGAATGCTGGAAAGATGATTGGACCAGACCCAGGAATTCAAGTCGGAGATGAGTTTCAGTACAAGTCAGAACTGAGCTTGATCGGTCTCCATTTCGATCTCATGGGTGGGATTGATTACATGGACAGAGGAGACATGAAACTTGCTACAAGCATTGTCTCATCTGAAGGCAATGGTTACATCGACATATTCGACTCTCATGTCATGATTTACTCTGGTCAAGGAGGTAACCTGAAGAGCAAAGATCATCATGTCATCGAAGATCAGAAGCTTGTTACAGGAAATTGGCTTTATCTAATTGCATCAAGGCAAAGACTCCAGTGAGAGTGATTCGTGGCAAGAAGAGATTGGACCAGAGAGGGAAACGTTACACGTATATTGGGCTATACTTGGTTGAACATTATTGGCAAGAGAAAGGACCTCTAGGTAATGTTTTGCTCAAGTTCAGCTTCGTAGAGTTTCTGGTCAACCTACCATTGACTTGAGACACTGACAGAGATTAAACCTTTTTTTTTGTTCACGTCTTGATATTTAGGTCACTTTGTTTTTTATTACAATCATAACAGTAAGTTCGGGATATTTCTCTTTCTTTTTAGTCGGTTTGAGATTTTGCACAGTACAAAATTATTCATGTTTCTGTTTCTGTAAAAAATTAATGATGCTTAATGTTCCTCTCTTTTGTATAATGCAAGAGACATGTAATCTAATTTACACAACTAAATACTCACCGCTCCAAAGCTGCTCCTATTTCTTTCACAACCAGAAGAGCTAGATGTCAAACCAAAGATCCTAGTTGCAAGCTTTTGTAAATTTGGCGCTGCACAACCATAGGTTCCCCACCAGTTTCCTGTGATTTAGCAAGTGAAAAAGGCATCATATAAGATAAATATCAAATTTTCTGATCATATAAGATCGCTTATAATGAAAATGCAAGTGAGCAAACCTGGATCAAACTTCTCATCCTTTTTTTCACACCCTTTCAACGCCAAAAGGACCAACTTTATTTTTGCTTGTCAAAGTCACCATGATAAAAAGTGTCAACACAAGCTATGAATCCTTGCATTACTTCCATGTCATATATCGTTGGATCTTTGTAGAAGTAAAACGGATTGAGGAAGTAGGCAGTGATATACAAAGGAGTATCCAATCCTACATTTTCTCTCTTTTAATTCGTTTATTACTTTCTCCATTTCAAATTACTAATTATGTATATATAATTATTTGGATTTATTAAACTCAAAACACATCTAGATACATCCATATAAATGCATATACATTTTTCCAAAACGACAACTAATTTGAAATGGAGGGAATATTATTTTACTTAATAAATCTATAATTCTATAAATAAATACAAGTAACAGAAAATAGCAAATAATGTTCTAAATACATTTTACAAAAATTAATGTTTTTGTACATTCTCTTTATTATAATGATTTGATAATTTTAAAGTTATTAATATATTAAATATAATAATTAAAACAGACCAAAACCTAATCGTATACAAAAATACTTATGAATCAAACTCAACATATTAAATTGTATGAATGGTCATTATACTCATTACAAACGTATAACATTTTTTAATCTATTGCTACTTTAAGAAAAATGTCCAACATGCCAATAACCCTTAATCTAGTTCAGTCTTCAAGGTAGACTCAGAAAAATAGTTTATCTCGATCAGTCATTTAAATTCTCCAACAATCATAAAGAACATAAAGAAAATACTGCAATAAATTTTTATATCGAGCAATGTTTTCGATAGCCCTCGCTCGGATATCCGTGTAAACCATGTTTAAGACAGTTTTGGATACCCGAACTACACAAAATTTATCTAACTAAAATAACTGTTTTGGAAATAAATGCATAAGTACCATATTTTATGTCTTACCAAATCCTAAATAATAAGATATATCTTTAAAAAATTAATTATGTGCTTCCATTTTTTTCTTCACTTTCTCTCATTTAAAATATAAAAAATCATGTCTTTGAAATTTCAGGAAATTAAAGAATATTAAATAACTCTAATTCAAAATTTTCATCATAATAAGTATGTGTTATTCAAAGGTGGAAAACTAGATATCTTAAAGAAAATTATATAAAAAACGATCATTCATATTTTAACAAAACAATATTTCATATTCTAACGGAAAAAACAAAATAAGTATTTTGCATGCCATATCCTAATATAAAAATGATCTATATTCAAACAGAAAAAGTTTAATATTCTAACAAAAAAAACGGAAAAAAATATTTTTGCATGCCATATTCTAACAGAAAAAGGTTTTGTATTCTAACAAAAAATGAAAAATGCATAAATATCATATTCTTTATCTTACAAAACCCTATATAATAATCTATATCTTCAAAATTTAATTTTGTGCTTCCATCCTTTTTTCACTTTCAAGAAAGCAATAAAAGTTATCTGACTCTAACTTGAAATTATCGTCATACTAAAATGGAAAAGTAGAAATCCTTAAGAAAGTAATATCTTATTATAATTATAATTTTATTTCTTATTTTAAAATATATCATATTATAATAATCTTATTATAATCTGCTTATTACAGAATTTTAATATAACTATTACTCTTTATTGGAGACTTCAATAATCTGCTTATTGAAGTCTTATATTATTCAAAGATTTCTTATAGGCTTTTCAATATTATTTTACTTGTTTAAAAATGAATCATATTCTGTTTAATAGTTTTTTTGTAAATTGTTTCAAAATCTTGATATAAACTTTGCATATACGCGGAGACTTATCGAGTGACTAATATAATTGTAATTCTGGATATTCTGATTATTTCAAGTCTAAAGTTAACTACTATTTTGGATATTTATTTGTATTTTGGATAACTATTCAGTCCCAGTTCTTCAAATATAGAAATCTAGTATCTATTTGGTATTTATGTCAGTTTCGGCTCGGTTGTTCGGATTAGGTTAAAACGCTCTTTAAAACAGAGGAAAAGAGTAAACCATAATCAAACTCAACACCGAAACAGAACATCACAACTGGAGTTGTTATGTTTTCAACCTGTAAATATCATTATCGACCAGTAGGAGATGTGGAATTTGTTGCACACTGTTAAGAAAACATTCTAATTAATTTCACCTAGAAGAAATATTTTTGAACACTTGATGGCCACTTCGGTGAGTGTCTTAAACGTATTAACATTTTTCTACTAAATCAATACTCAGGAGATCGTATGCAAAGCTGGGGAGTGGAGCAAAGTCGGGTACTTTGTTGGGAACCGGATTAATCCAGGGATCATTTCTATTTTGCTTGCCCGTTTGTGTACACGCTTTGGCTGAGTTTAGGTTGAGGATTACTTGGTACAGCTGCGTCACCGGACTGGCATGAAACGTTGGAACATCTCATCACTTTGAACCGTAATCCAATGGACTATATTCTCACTCGCATCAGGTTAGTCGGTTAGTCTTTCGATTTACTAACTACTCTTCGTGGAAAGATCGGAACTCCCGTCGGCATCAGCAGCAACTCACAAAGACTGTGGATAAGATCATTCGGAACAGAATCTCCTCAGTTAAATACAAAGCTCCGCACAAATACGAAGGACTGCTACGGCGTTGGTTTGAAGTTATACAAAACTAGATCAAATTCTTGGTAATTAAAGCCTCTCAAAGCCATTCTTTATTTCTTTTCTGGAAAACCACCACACACTTGTAAATTCTTATTCCAGCTTTGATCAATAAATGATTATTATTAAAGAAGGATGCTAATTATTTTTCATCAAAAAAGTCGTTGTTTTGAAACATATTTCTTTCACAATGAGGTAAACAGTACAAAAGGTTAGGCATTTTCATGGAATGAAACAAGCCAACAAGTCAGATCGAATAAAGAAAGGCTCTGTTTGGGTAAAAAATGTACATCCAATATAATTTGAAAAAGAAGCAAAATTTGATGGAACAAACAAGTAAAACAGATCATGGAGAGCGAGAAAGACTGAGAGGGATAGAGATAAAGAAAGTTAACATAGTATAATACCCCAAAATGTGTGACGCCGTTTTGATTCCGCGGTTACATATCTTGAGATGGTAGAAGAAGTGAAGACGCTGAGAGTTGTTGTTATGTGGGGGAAGCTAATGTGAGTTTTAGGATAAAACCGATGATGAGTCCGATGAGTCCAACCAAAGCTGCCAACTTTAAGGATAACCCATTTCCGCTGTTCCTCTGGTTTCTTCGTCTCACCACCTCCTGCAATGTCATTCAGTATATATATGATTGGTGATCTCCTTTGTCACTAAGGAAACTGGAAACGTTTGTGGAGCCATACCAATTCATGTTGTAGCTGTTGTGTTTGCTTAACAGCTGCATCTCGCTCTTCCTTCAGCCGCTGTATAGTCTTTTTAGCCCATAACAATGGAAGAAAACGTTAAGAGGGAGAAATAAAACAAGGCAAGAAATAATCTCTCGTAAGGTGGATAGAGATGAGTTGTTACTCACAGAGATGGTTTCGGAGCCATTTCCATCGCCATTGGTTGCTCCAGATTCAGAGGACCTTTGGGGTGTAGACGGGGAGATATAAGAGACCTTGAGCTTACACTCTGTTAATGTTTTCCCACTGTCCTTGGTAAACTAGACACATGCAAGCATGGCAAATTCTATGTCAAGTTCTTTTTTCTGAATTACAAGAAGAAGAAAAAGGAAAAACATGGGACTTACTGTGTCTTGTGGAAGTTCATCCACATCAGTGTGAGGAGGTACAATGGTACTTTGAAGGAGAAACTTGTCTTTGCACTGCATATCCGGAGGAAATTCCCTTTGCGCTTGTAGAGTAACTATCATTCAATAGATCAGTACTGAAAATTCAATAGAGGAACTGCAACTTATAATAATTCAATATATGATTGTACCAGTACCTCTAATTATGCACGAGTCCCATGGCTGTATGACACCAGTGTTGGGTCTTACGAAATACTTCTTCGGCGATGTTGTCTTCACCTGATTCGGTCAAGGAAAGAATAAGTCAAACACTCATGATTGCATCTAAAGTTGGTGGTTTTTGATGCAGGAATTACCTTGAAAGCAACATAGTGCTCTGTTTTATTGGCGACTTTAAGGTCACAGTAGCTTTGCTTCTCGAGTTCAACTGTTACAATGTCAACAAGCATCCAAAAGTATCAGTGACAAGAGAATCACAGACAAGGAAAATGCCAAGAGAATCTAACCCAAATATGTATCAAGTACCATAAATAACAATTTGGAAACCGTTTCTCTTCAACATTTCAAATTTAAGAAACAAAACAGATCGAAAATCAAACAAATACATGATCTTCTAAATATATAAGGAGAGAGTAGAATTCTTACAAAGAAATTTGAGCTCATCGGGTTGGATTGAGATAAGCTGGTTCTCGCCAACGCCAGTCATTGCTTAGCTAACCACAAAAGATCACAATCAATCACTACAATTCGAAACCTATACACATCGAAAATCGAAATCGAAACCCCTAATTCAAACAATTCTGATTTTAAAAACTTTCTGGAAAAAATATGTCACAATGCAAAATAGAATCAGTGAGAGAAATGAAGAGCCAAAAAAGACGGATCAAACCTGAAGAAACAAAAGTCACGGTCCAATGAAGGAGCAAGGAAGGCGAAGATGGTGGTTATTTCTTTCTCTTGCCTCCCGAAAATCGCTCTCCACCAAAACCAAAATTCAACCTCCTATCTCTCCTCTATCTCTCTTTTTTTCAAGAAAAAAAAACCTCCTATCTCTCCTCTCATACGATTGAAGGCGAAAGAACTTTTCTAGAGAGAGAAAAACGCGAAGAAATCCCAAAGCGCTTCGTGGACCGGCCACGTGAAGTCGAAGCAAACTTCTTTGCGATTTCCTCTGGCGTCGTCTCCGGGAAATACGGGGAAGAAGAGAGAGATGAAGGAAACTATGACACGTGTGAACGCAGTTGAGCGTTTGGAGAAGAAGAAAAACGTAAAAGCTATAATTAGATTTTGCTGTTCAAAAAAAAAAGAAGCTATAATTAGATTTTATATATATTGACTAAAATGCTTCCTAAACTGGGATCGCTGAAGCTATTTACGGGTAGAAAAATCTTGAAGTTGCTTGTAAGGTATTCTATAAGATATGAAGTTATAAAAGTACGTATTTCTTATTCTTTCTTTTGCAGAGATAGGATGGACTGTTTCTTTATTAACATGTCTCAACTAAACCCAGATGAGAAGTCGACTCACATGAATATCAAGCCCTTTGACAAGAGAATTAATGGTTCATTAAGTTGTAGAGCTAGCTTTAGATTGTGTAAATACATTATAAACCTTGCCAAATCAGTAGGCCGATCCACCCTAGAGGTTCTGTTAGGCATTGTTCAGTGTCGGATTCGCCTTAATGAGCACAAGAATTTTGTTATGATATGATAAGCTTCCTAGGATAGATAATGGATTCTTACTTATTTTGGCTTAATAAAACAGAAGTTTTGAAAAAGTGGGTAAGGAAAAACCGAGTTTAAAATGGAAACAAAAATGAACTAACACATTAATACCGACAATCCCCTCAGACTTAACTTACACTGTCCCGATGAAAGAAAATCCAATTAAGGGAGTTAACGAAAGAGGTAATAAAGCGATTGTGAATGAAAAAGGAAGATGTAACCTGATTTGGTTTGTAAACTGAAGAATGGTGTATGCAGTGGAATGAGTGTGGTAGAGTGTGGAATGCAAGTGTGGTGAGGTGGGATGGGTGAGATGCAGATGGAACGAGATGGGATGGTGTGTTGGTCGACTCGAGAGGACATGGCCAAGCGTGGAGAGGTTCTGCTCGGCCATCAGGGTCTGCCAACGATGAGCATTCTTCGTTTTGGTGTATCTTCTTTCATATTGTGTGGTTCTTAGGTTCCTGTATCCAAGACTTCAAAGCAAAACTAGATATTAACTAAAACTATTGAAAAACAAAGATAAGAAATAACACTTTTCATGGGTTTCCTCCCATGCATCGTTTGTTTAGGGTTTTTAGCTTGACCGATAGGGTCTCTTAGTTAAAGAGAAGAGAAGGGCATGGCCTGAGACAAATTCTTTTGGTGCTTGTCTCATCCTGTCCTTGGGTGTGGTGAGGTAGTTCTCTTGGGCGGCCTCGAGCAGTGATGAAGTAAGACAGCTTTGTGGGTGAGATAAAAGGTATGGTGGGATAGAAAACTGTCTTGTCAACATTGGCTAAAGAGATTTGCTTGTTTGGTAGGTCCATGATAGCTCCAGCAGTGGCCAAGAAAGGTCGGCCTAGTATCAAGAGCGTATCACATCCTCCTTTGATGTTCATAACATGAAAATCCACCGGTATCTTTGTGTCTCCAATCTCTAGAAGAACATCAACTACTACTCCTCTTGGTTTGGCTATGGTGTGATTAGGAGTCCAATACTAATCTGAGCGGATTGTAGGCGAGTAATATCAATGAGTTTGGCGGTTTGGGTAGGCATAAGGTTGATGAAAGAACCAGAATCACAAAGTGATCTATCAAAGTAATGACCATTTACTTGACATGGTATAAAGAATTGACCTGGATCTTCGATCTTGTAGAGGGTCTTGAATGTTGGTTGAACCTTAGCTTTCTCAAAAAGCTCTTTGATGTTCTCTGGGGTCTCTTTGCAGTTGTGGAAGAAGGTGGTGAATGGATAGTGTCTCCAAGCTTGTTTGAATGACATGCTGGCTGGAAGGGTATGGACAAACTTATTGAACTCAGCAAGTTTCTATCTCGATATAGAATTGACATATGATGTTGAGTCAGGTTTTACCAAACTCTTAGACCTCTGCAAGTGCACAGATCGCGGAAGTATGGGTATCGAACACAAGGACTGGCTATTGAGTACACTTTGAAACTATAGATTTTGGATCAAGCTAAAACAAAAGTATGATTGGAGGTTGTAATGGTGAACAGAACTAGCAAGTAAACGAGGTTGTAAATCAATAAGGAAGAAGCGCTAGGTCAACAGGGGCTAATCGCAGAGAAGCAAGCAATGATCAATGAAACAATGATAGATGAATTGATTAGGGATATTGGGATATTAAGAACCGTCTAGAACACAGATCACGAATATAAAACCATTCCACTTTCGAGGCTCCGGTTCCTTTGTTAATCTACCTAGTCGCTAAACTTTTGGTATGTCCCTAGGTGATTAAATCAAGCTTTAGAATGAATAGGTTCTGATACAGTTCACTAGTTATAGTAAGATCAACTTTCGCAGTCTAAGAAACCTAGCTTGCCAAAGAATATGTCCGGCGAATGATACAACACTTTCGAGGCTCAAATCAACCTAAGATCGGATTACTAGATGCGCGGTAAAGCAATCAGCATTAGTTAAGTGCACAAGACGAGACAAAGACTCTATGATAATCCCTAGCTAAACATCGAAATCAAAGATCATGCAAGCAACTCATTGATTAGTAACCCTAGCAACCTAACTAGTGGATTACTCAGACATGATCAAAGCAATAACACATAAAGATGAAGAAAACATGATTGCAATAAACTCAAAGTATGAAAATCGTGATACAAGGGCGGCTCTCTCTCTCTCAAGAGGCTAAAAAGTTGTATTTATAATGTGCTAGGTCTTCAGAGGCGGCATTAGGTAAGCCGGGCTGTGAAAACGTGTGAAACGGGCTTCAAAACGGGCTTCGGGTCGATCGGACGGTCGGACGGTCGGCCGGTCATCGATCGTAGTCGGCATCGGTACGGTCGGAACGATCGTGGCCGATAGTTTTCGTGTTCGGCCGACGGGGTCGGACGGATGGATAAGTTTTGGCCGATGAAACTTGGCCGGTCACGGGACGATGCCTTCCTGTTCGCGGATGGGTCGGCCGCGGTACATGGGTTGTGCCGCGCGCCGCGAGCTTTGCTTCCCGGTTCGCGCGGCGCGGTCGTGCACGGCTTGTGGTGGCGAGCTAAGGACGGTTCGACCGGGCGGCGACCGGGACGTTGCTTTCCGGGTCGGGACGTGAGCTCGGCCGTGGACTTGGCGGGATGCGGATACGTGCGCCGGACGATCGTGGTTGTTCGTTCCACGATCGGCCGGTGTGCGCGGCCTAGGATGCAAATGCTCGATAAAGCCGTCTGGACCAGTCTTCACTATTTTGATCATACTTCACTTCTACTCATCCAAATGATGCCAATCCAATTGCGTTGGAAAGTTAACTCACTCAGAGCACGCAGGGAACTGGTCTTGATGAAATCCATTGAGTAGATCTTTTTCTGGGCCCTCTTAAAGTTGATGCTTGTATGGAGCGGCTTGAAGTGCAAATCCTATGGTTTTGCTCCAAAATGCATCATTTCACCTGTTTAGACTCTAGACACTATAAATCCAATAAAACTACCTTTTTAGATAGAAAACCTGCCAAAAACCATTAGAAAACAATACTAAAACAGTATAAAAAGCATGTAAAATAGAGGTATATCAACATACCATTCATGGCATGGAGTAGATGGTGGAGATGGTGGTTGATTGAATGAATGAGGTGCAAGGGGAAATCGAGCTTGCCTAAAGAGTTTGTGTATCTCTTCTTTGGATTCGCCAGTTGCAAAAAAGAAATCATCCAAGTTGTGGTTGTCCCAAGCTTCTTCAAACGTAACATAGAATGGTAGTGATTTAACCTTAGGATTGAACTCCTTAAGCTTCATGGGGCTTATCTTGTTGGGATCATAGCACCAAGTATCTTCTTCTTCACTAGGTGCAGGTGGTGGCCTTTGTATTACTTCCAATCTTGGAAGCTCTGAAGCTTGGCTTCGTGGTGGTGGTAAGAAACGAGGATCAACTGAGTTAGGTGTGTCCTTTCTCTGTATTGGAGAAGCATTGATGTCGAGGCACTGCACTTCATCTTCATCGTCAAGTTGTTCCTCATATTCTCTTTCTTCTTCATTGTCTTCAATGACTTGGCGAGTGTTGCCTCTTCTATGGATAGCTCTTGCAGCATTGCAAGGAAAGAGAGGGAGGTTGGGTGTTGGAATTCTCTCTCTCTTGTACTTGGGATAGGATGATCCTTCGAGGGCTTGTAGGCAGTTGTAGATCGATCCAAGATGCTTGCTATTGTCAAAGTAGGTGTCTTCGATCCTCATGCTCTTGCTGAGTAGCTCTTGATATTTTGCAGAAACATCAAGGCTTATTAGGTTAAGAGATCGATCATGGTCTTCTCTAAGCTTCTTAATGTCTTCATCAAGCTTGATCACTTGCTTGAATAGGACTTCAGACTTGTCTCCAAGACTCTCATGGATCAAATCGATTCTCTTTTCCATCTTCTTTGTACTCTCAGCTTGATCCTTCAAGTATTGTTGAAGCATAACTTCAATCTTGGTGGAGCGTGGGGTTTGGGAAGCTTCCTCAGCAAATAAAGGTGCTTGATCTATGTGTGGTGATGATGGATGGTGTTGTGAATAGCTAGGATTGGTTGGTGGAACATAGAGTGAACCTCTTGAAAATCTGTAAAGAAAGGCTTCCTTGTACCTATTCCAAGTTCTGAAGGCGTGTTGGGCATTGAACTTTACCCATTCTTGAGCTCGTCCAGCTAGAGATAGTTGGAACAGTTGGATCTTCTTGGGATTGTCACCAAGACCATAGTAGTTGCAAAGTTGCTCAAAGTTGTAGAGATGCTCTTTTGCACACTCTGAAGTAAACTCATGGAAATGGTCTCTCTCCACATGCTTGATTAGTTCTTGAGAATCCTTTTCCATAACTAACTAAGAAAACCTGAAAATAAAAAAAAAATC